CAACCGACATATAGGTATAATTAAATTCAAAAGTATTATAATCTTGTTAATAGCAATATCATGCTTGAAACCATGAAAATCGACTCTGTTCGCATTTAAACATGTACCTGATTTGTGTCCTTTGGTTTTTATGTTGAGCAAATTTTCCCATGACTTTTTGGTTCAACGGTGCATCCTTCATGATGAACCATTCATGACTAAAATATCTATTTCGTTTTCAATCCACAACAGGATGTGAACATTTTGCTCTTTGATGTGGTCCCAGTTTCTTGACAATGAGCGTAATAATGGAGTAAAGCGAATATCCAATAATTATTCTACACGATACAATGCTGCATTGTACAACAAACATTAGATTCCAGTTTAAAACTACCCGAACTCACTGATACAATACAACGGCACTTGTTTCATTGTTTGTCTGATCTCCACACACAGAATACAAGTGAAAACAATACGTACGCAAGAGATCACAAACAGTAATCACGCTCAAACCTCCATTCAAGAGTGCTTACACAATCTTAGCCCTTTGACGTCACTATAATAAGACAGCTTATCCAAAGAGTACATATGGAGCTGAGGGAAAAAAAGGATGGGGGTGGGGGGGTTCTCAGTTTACGCTCTGATCTTGAGCGAAGGTGTCAAAATTTGGTGTCAAAAGTTAGGCGTGCGATTCACGATTCAGTATCGCGTGACACAGCGTGGTTTCAGCCCCGGAGCCAGACAGAATCATCAGTTGCTTAAGTCTCGGCCTTGTGCCATGCAGGGTTAAAACCTCAGTGATATTCCGTTTGTGGGAATTTAAGCGCGGGGCTTAAGGGACAAACCAATGAGAGTTTATTTTCCCCAACGGAAGGAGCACTTGATTGGACGGAGCTATAGTTGTAGTGAATAGTAGTAGACATCCAGACCAATCAGATCACTTTTTGGGGTGTTATGCTTCAGAAGTTTCGTTTGGGTTTTCGTGAAATTTCGCTTTTTATCGGAATACACGAACATTATTATGTTTTGTCCCTTTACAAAATTTCTTTAAATGTTTTGTTTTGATTTTAGTTAGAAAAGTGAATATTATCAGGTGGGGACGAAGCTGCAAGCCCCAGCCCACATTACGCCACTGCTAGAACAAAAGGTTGAAGTTACTTTGGTGAATTTAGATAGTTTATCTTGCTTCAGTTTTGCTACGGGTTGAGAAATAAAAAAAAAAAAAAACCATTATGAAAAAAAAATAAAATTCTCTCAGCATTTGAAATGCTCTGCAAGCTTCGAATAGCTGTGAATAGGGCAAAAATCGACTGTACTAAATGAATACCTTGTTTTGATGATAATATATATTGATCTTGGTATTTATAGCCTGTGGATACTTTATGTTTTTATCGTTTTATTTGTTTGTTTATTTATTCTTTGTGGTGTGTGTGTGTGTGTGTGTGTGTGTGTGTGTGTGTGTGTGTGTGTGTGTGTGTGTGTGTATGTGCGTGTGTGCGTATATGAGTGTGTGTAAAGGGGGGGGGGAGGGGTTGCAGCTTACAGTTACAGATTAAGTTAAATGATGAATGATACAGACAACCAATAGATCTAGATTTGGGACTACGTCGGTAGCATTTGAAAACATGTTAGCATTAAAAATTCTTCTTATGCCAGCTCTGTACTTCTTAGGCCTATGCTTTAAATTACTGATCAGGTATATACACCAACGACGTCTTCTGGTGTTTTAAAATACTATTTTTGTCCTCACCTCCAGCTATGTATGGTATAGTACATGACGTAGTATACACACCTTGCGACTCATCGCTGGCGACTGCTCAAGGGGTTCCGTGGCGGGCGCGAGTACGTGTACATTGTGTGTGTGTGTGCGCGCGCGCGCGTGTGTGTGTACGTGTGTATGTGTGTATGTGTGTATGTGTGTATGTGTATGTGTGTATGTTCGTGTGTGTATGTGTGCATGTGTGTATGTGTGTGTGAGTGTGGGCACGTGTGTGTATGTGTGTGCGTGTTTGAGTGTGTGTGT